TTTTATTTTGATAAAAAAAATTGAGGATGATCTTTTAGGTATCAAATATGAAAATCCGTTGCCGTTTTAATTTTTGGATTCTTTACTTTTAATCGGCACCCTTTAGAAATCTAAAATCGTGTCAATTTATTACTCTCTTATAGTGGTCCAGAACTTTTTTTCTGTGACAAATATTGAAATGATTTTAATTTTTTTTTACTGTTCAGTAAGTGTGTTTTCGATATAAATTATTATAATCCAATTAGTTAATCTTATAAAAGAATGGTAAACCACTAAAGATTCATGATAATTTGCCAATTTTTGTGATTTTTGTCTGGCTCCTGTGCCTATTCCACTAAATCTAGAAAGTTATTTTTTTCAGGTATCAAGTACTTATACAATAGAAAACGTAACTAATATTTTAAGTTTCTAGACTATCATTTTCTTTATTAAAAAAATTATTGAAACTTGATAATTTTCAAAATTAGCCAATTTTGCCCTCAGAAATCATTATGTTGAGGAAAAAATAAAAATCTGAAACTTTTAGGAAATGTAGTCCCAACCTTCATCTTTTCAGTCTAGTTAGTCTTGTTTTGTTATTTTATCTATGTAAAAGATATAATAATTTTTTTAATGCAGTTAAGAAGCGATATTGTTAGTTTTATTTATAATTTAAAATTTAGATGGCTTTGACTTAGTCAATTCATGTTTGGTAGAGAAATGTCAGAACTGTCAAAAACATGGCCAGATATGTACTATTATAGTACATATCTGGCCAACATTAACACAAGCCTTGCTTAGCAGAGGCAGGAAACATAAGAGTCAATCCAAATGAAAACACCAAAAATGAATTTAAAAGTGGACTGCATGATTTTTTATTTTACACTATAATAGTGTCGTAGTGATTATCAAGTCTGTAACAAATTAGGATTGACCTGTTGTTGTCGTTCTGTCTAAAGGATATCTTGTCAGTGCCAACTGTTTGTGATGTATTTTGATTGCGACGTTAAATATGTCCGATGCTTCTATTGTTTCCAATCCCACCCAGAAGGTGTGAAGTACGCCTCTGTTTTACGTTACCAGTCGTTAATATGCGGGTGGAGGTGGGGTTCTTCAAGGATCGCATCCTGTAAATATGGTCTGTATGTCACTATGTGGGTTCTCATTTGGTAATTTAGTCTTTGTCTTAATGCGTGTGTACTCCTATTGTTGACCTAGTCAGGCTATTGTCTAGTTGGTGTGCCAAGCTGGCCACTAAGCAATTCCCGTCGGATGGAAGTTTATTATGCCCATCGTATTGACGATTTTTATGTTTGTTATGGTTTGGGTTTATTAAGATTTATGGCGTTATTTTATGGGTTTAGTCGAATGTTTATTTGGGGAATGGAGCTAGTGTCTTATGGCTGCCTTTTTCTGTTTTGTTTATGTATTGATTTATAGGTTGTCTATCCCTATAGGGATCTGTTTATTTTCTTATTCCAGCTGGGTTCTTGGAAATTTACGTTGCGAAGTATATTACGTTTTACGTTTAGATTTTTTTAGAATAGGAATAGAATTGGTATTGTTATTAAGACATGCAATTAGAAAAATTACTTAGCTGGATTAATTAGGCTTGAAATCCTGATGCTTTGTCTTTAACTGGCTGTCCGTTGTTCCTTGACCACGCCTGCAAGTTTTTGGCACGCGTTGATTGTGGCAATCTCCCAGGTATCCAGGTAGCTCGGTTGGCTTATCGTTGTGACTTAGCCTTAATCACTTATTCATTCGCACACTTTTACAACGTTACCGCACTTTGTGGCTTAACCGGGGGCCACCCGCACTTTTTGCACTTGTCGCACTTTTGGCACTATTTTATTTAATATTAATTTTTATTATTTGTTTTATTGTTTTTTGAATCGCTTGTACCCAATATTACCGATATTTCCGGATTCATAGCTTCGTTTTTGGTACTTGCATTTGTATCGTTTACACTGATTAGGAGGGATCTCGTTAACGACCGTAGCGCGTCCTCTCAATTCAAGTGGTAAGACGAGACTTAAAATTAAATATTTTATGTATACTTTACTCGCTCTTTTAATTGCAAAACTGGCCTTTGGAAAACTGTATACTCATTAAAAAAGCTACCTCTGCACTCGTTAAGGAATGTACTATTATTCAACATCCATTTCATTTCTTAATTTCAACCGGTGCATACACGAGGCGGGCAAATTTTTTTTGCTCACTAGTAAGGTTAAAACTGCTTGACAGCTGTAAGATGCCAGATAAAATTTCTAATAAAATTGTGTTTAATTTTCTTGTGGTAGTTGAATACAATATTGTGTGCGACTATTGGTTAAAAGAGAAGATTACACTCAGATATTACTCACATTTTTTCTTCCACTTGTCTCACAATATACTAGGTAGGTATGCGTTAAAAAAAATCAAAGCCATTAAAAAGTTGCCGGTTTGTAAAGTTTAAAATTATTCAGTTTTAATTACTTCTACATAGGAGTTTAGACCCATGGCTTGTTTTGAAATATGGACATTTGAAAATACCTATTTAAAACTACAAAAATTATTTTTTTAAATTAAAAAAAAGGTTTTGGATTCTGAATGCCTTTTGCCCGATCGGTCACAATGTGTTTCCTGCCGAATTATTAATTAAAATAGTTCAAAAACAACTCTTGTTTTCATAATCCTTTTTTATGTTTTAATATATTTTAACTTTATTTTATGTAAATTAAGAAGTTGTCGAAATAAAATACAAAATAATAATTATAAACACCATGAAAACTAATAATGTATTAAGTAAATTAAATTAAACTAGACATAAATTGCCAAATATATAAATATTATTCAATAATAAATGTTTAAATCATGTACATATATTAAAACAACGACTATAATATAATTAAACCATAATTAGGAATAGCCCCCAATAAATAAATATAATTTGAATTATTACACCTGTATTAAAATTAAACCAACAGGAGTCATTTAATTTAATTACTTAATTAAATAAACATAATTTTGCTTGTATATAATAATAATGGGTAATACTTAACATTTTGAAGATTTTCGTTTTGTTTTTGGAAAACTTTTAGGTATTTATGGAAGTGTATTTTTATTTGGTTATAAGGTTTAAATAAGAAGTTACATATCGCACATGGGCGACAACAGTGACATAAGTAGTAAAACCTTAATTCCGAGATAAAGACCATCAAAGATTTTTTAATAATAAAATTCTGACATATTAGTAAAATTATATTAACTTTGCAAAGAAAGAACCACACTAAGATTCTGAGCCAGTTAAAAATTAGATTTTAGAAAATAATCTTTTTGGATAAGAGCTATTGTGTTGCTAAAAATATGTTCATGAATTTTGCAGATATGTCTGTATTGCTAAAAAAAGTGTAGATCAATTTTTTAATTATTCATTCTTATACTGTTAATTATGAATATGAGGAACGTATGACTGGCCCCATCAGCAACGCCTTACACTGATTTCCTAGGGTTATTTTATCCCCTTTCAGTTTTCCTACGTATCCCGCCGCTGCACAGCATTGCCTGTATTTGTTGGATCCGAATTTTCACCCCGGCTGGTAAATCTCGCCTAGGAGGTCATGGATGACAGTGTTGATGGTTAAGGCCACTCCCGGAATTTTGTCGCCGAACCGGGCCATACGAAATTAGGCTAGTGGAGTGCGGACAAGGAGGTAAAACATTTTGGTAACAAGGTAAAATCCGGAGTCCCCCATAACCAGGGATTTAGTAATCACCCCATTTAATTGGGGTTCAAAAATGGGGCTTAATTGGTTAATACGCTACTAGGACATATCCTTGCTGGTCTTGAAGTAGGTTCTTCCTGTTCGTATGTATTCGTGTCTCTGTCCGAGTAGAATTCCGAGCTGAATATTGATAACGTTGCAACCCACTGTGCGGTTGTTTATTATTTCGCATAGAACGTAATTTATGGCTCCCTTAAATATGCCAAGTAATCTACAGATGTTTATTTCTTTAGGATGAGTTTCTTTTGCCTAGTGTTTATCTAAACTTAAGTGTTTAATGACTGCTTATGTGAGCCCTTAAGGAAAACTGTTGGTGACTAATTATTTTTTTCCTGGTGGAGTTCCTTATAAGTTAAGGTTGCGAATTTCTCATTAAAATTTAGTATTTGGGTATTATTAAGGTCATCCAATTTTGGTAGGTTTACTTATCCGGTTTATGCAGACTTGGACTTGAAGTGCATAGGCAGGTGTTGTGAAATTATTCCTTAACCTCGACAGCCAACTATTAGCACGGGTTGTTTCTGTGTTGGTAATCCAGGAAAAATTATTCGTTGTATCCAATCCCCTCACTCACACTCTTTTTCCCAGGTGAAGTACTTTGGGACTTAATCCAGGAGGAGGTCCCACACGCAATTTGCACCCTTTTTGCACTTGTGTCTGGTAGATCACGTGTAGAATCATTAATTGATTTTATGAATTTAAACACCGATAGCGGTGGTAGCCATATGAAAGTACGAACGCGTTAAACGTGACCCCTACACACACGATCGTTTGCCTTTTGGTGAGGAGCGTCACTTATTCATTCTTTTATTGTTGACAACTTTAACAAAATTACTGTCACAACTTACAGGCAACTTACTTATGACATTGTTGATGAAAATTATAATAGGGATTATAAAAATTGCAGACAGACACAAGTCTCCATCTGGAGATTAATTTCAAAAATATATTTTTGCCACTTTTGCAGCACAAACTATAAGTAATTTTCCACTTATTGCACTAAAAACCCCAAAATTCAGTTTTTTTGACTTATGACACTGTTGTCGCCCATGTGCGATATGTCAATTATTTTTAAGTTAATTTTATAAAAAAGCTCTGTAATTGGAAAAAAATGCTGTATTCTCTCTTAAATAAACAAATAAATAATGTGTTTAAGATACGTTCTATAAAAACATTGTTTACATTACATTTTAGTTATACCTATATAACTAAAATTTAATGTAAACGATGTTTTATTAAGTTGTTTAAAATTACCTTATATTGTCCTAAATCCTCCACCAAACAAGATAAAATGGCTTCTCGTCCAACTGGTACGGTTACATTTGTAATGGGAGCACTAAATTTTGGATTTTCTGTAACAAAAAAATAATGAAACTTAAAAAAATAATTTTTCCGAATCAAAGAATAGTTAATGTAGGTAACTTTGTATTTTTACTATTATAACTTTAAAAATAAGATAAACAAGTCATTAAAAAAACTACTAAGAAACTAAAAATATTGCGAAAACTGTGAGACTCACAGATTGAAGGGCTAGAGTTAAATTTAATATAGGTACAACATCAATGAATTATTTAAATAAGATTTAAACTAAAGTTTATGTTAAAAAAAGTATACGTTAATGTACAAAGACAGGTTTAAAGCCTGCTTTAAAAGAAATCCTACATTATTATACAAGGTATGTATAGGTATATAATGTCTTCAGTAGCGAAATTATACGTTATATTTAAAACAAAAATAATTTTTTCTACGACCACTATGTAATTTGATCATTACAGTAAAAGTCTTAATAACTGAAAGTTAGTCATTACGCACACGTGTGTAATGGTAATAAAAAAACACACTTTTAGGGTTTTTCTGTCTATTTTGTTTTTTTCTGGGGATGTTTATATTATTAAGGTTATGTTGGTAAAGCTGCTGTGAACTGTCAATATTTGACGACTGTCAGTGTACGGCGATGAAACTTGAACACAAAAATTCTGTAATAAACTACATAGAATTATCAAAAAAATTGAGATTTTCACGATTAAAGTAATTTTGAAATAAAACCGTAATTATTTTAAAATAATATTCTATTTACAGCAGATATGTCACCAAAAATTTACTACCTGTTAAATCTCGCGAACGATACGAGATTAATTATGACAAATTTATGAAATGGAGAACCAGCAATAAAATCCAGTCATTTTCAGAAAATGTTTTACTTGCTTATTTTGAACAACTTTCAATCACAATGAAACCATCAACATTATGGGCTACATATTCTATGTTAAAATCAACAATAAGCATTAATCATGAAATAAATATTGCTTCTTACTCAAAATTACAAGCATTACTTAAAAGAAAGTCCGATGGTTTCAAGAGCAAAAAGTCAAAAGTTCTTAATTCACAACAAATTAATACTTTCTTGAAGAATGCACCAGATCGAAAATATACGAGCTAATAAATATCTTTAAATATAAATTAAGCATTCTATTTTAGGTAATTTTAATTTTTGGTATTTGTGGTGCATGTAGGAGACAAGAAATAAGGAACATAAAGACAGAAGATGTAGAAAATACTGGAAAATCTTTTATTGTTAATATTGTTGAATCTAAAACAAAAACAAGTCGCTCGTTTGTTATATCAGACGAATTTTATCCAATTTGTAAAAAGTACCTTAGTTTAAGACCTTCAGGTGGAGATACTAATAAGTTGCCCTTCTTTTTAAATTACATAAACAAAAAATGTACCAAGCAACCCGTTGGTATAAATAAAATTGGAAGTGTACCAAAAAATATTGCCGAATTTCTGGGGCTACCAAATAAAGAACTTTATACGGGACACTGCTTAAGACGATCGTCTGCAACCATCCTTTTAGATGCTGGTGGGGACCTTTTGGCTTTGAAAAGACATGGGGGATGGAAGTCATCCACTATAGCTGAAGGCTATGTGGATGATTCGTTAAAAAATAAGGAAGATAATGCGTCTAAAATAACAAATGCAATTAATATATTTAATAAATCTGAAACTGCTGCTAATGTATATCCGGCTCGAAACATTGATAGTATACTAGCCAATTGCAATAAAAAAAGTGGAGAAACTTCTGTATTTAATGATTCTGAAACTATTAATGTGGACCAGTCGGTAAACAACGATAGTATAATTGTCAATTGTAATAAAGAAAATGCAAATCCTTCCCTTACGTTTAATAATTGTACAGTTACCATTAATAATTACTATAAAGAAATGTAAGTGGTTCATTAGCATAAATAAATTAAAATTTTTGGGAGTTTTTATTTTTTATTTTTTTTTAAGGCGAACAGAGTGTGGCCGTAGAAAAAGTATAGTACACAACTCGTGTGGGAAGGCAAATTACGCATTCGTGGAAATGCGCACTCGCTTCGCTCGTGCGCAACTTTTTCCACTCATGCGTAATTTGCCACTTCCCACACTTGTTGCGTAATATACTATTTTTCCGCAGAGTGATAAAATTAAGCATGCTTCATTATTTAACAACTATTTCTGTAGCTGCCATTTACAAAGTTTTAATATGGTATTAATATTCATTATTTAACAACTATTTCTGTAGCTGCCATTTACAAAGTTTTAATATGGTATTAATATTCATATATTATATCACGAGAACTATGAATTTAATCGGTTAAACTAGGCTCAGTAGTTTTTTGTTTGGTTTTTGTTGGAAAATGTTGAATGCAAAATAATTTAATAAAATCACGAGACCGCGTAGCGGTCGAGGGGTTTTATTTTTAATTATTTTGCATGAAACTATTTTCCAAAAAGAAAAATCAAATAAAAAACTTACTGAGCATAGTTTGACAGATTAAATTTATAGGTTGAGTGATATACGTCTAGATTATTTCTCGAATTAAAGGAAACTATTTAACAATTCATAAAATCTGACGTATGTGTCAAAATTTATAAATATTTTTTTAAAGAAAATTCCATTAATTTAAGGTATGTAATAAGTAATAATTGATATTTCGTAAACTAGATAACTTATTTTTTATTGTTTTTTAAAAAATGTTTGTTAAAACTTGTAAATAACACCATAAAATCGTAAACAAAAATCCAATATGGAGGCTAAAATTTAATCGCTGTTAAATAGGTCTAGTGATTTAATCGCTTATTTAAACGAAATTTATTCGAAAATTCAAGGCTTTTGATTGGTTCATATTATAATGAGGGAAATAATCACTCATATTTTGTTATTTTAACCAAAATAAATATTAATTTTCAAAAAACTTTAAACATTATTTAAGAATTAGATGGATTTTTAAAGTTTGTGTTTTTATAATTGAAGACCTCGGGGGAAGAAGGTGATAAGCCACATTTTGGCAAAAAATGAAACACGGACTTTTTTAAATTGATATCCGTTATATAACCAAATATTATAGCTATTATATCATAGTTAGGTATGTAGGTTTTGTTACTACTTTTCGAATTAAAAGAATTTATGAATATGTTACTGACTTTTATTCATTTATACCTATGAAAACAATGATTTCAGGATTTGGGCATATCACCTTCTTCCCCCGAGGTCTTCAATTTATGTCGGTTTTGTAATATTTCATTACTGAGTGTGTTTTTGTTTATTTTTCAAAAAAGAGGCAAAAAAGAAATTTTAATATACGGTCCAATCTGGGCTAGTTATACCACTGCCTAGAAAGACTATAATGAACCCGAACTACTCTCGAAATAATTGTCGCCTGTACATCCTGTCAACTAGACTACTCTACGCACAGTAACATAGTTGTATATTTCTCAACGGGATAAAATGGGATTTCGGGCGAGTAGAACAGGGTAAATACAACAAAGGTATAAATTAAAAAAAAAGTTCAAAGTTAAAAAAAAGAAGTCAAACTTGGAAACAATACAAACACGAACACTTGAAGATTTCATATTAAGGCTTGATTTAAACTTCAGGGTAAATTTAGTTTGATTCAAGCCTTAATATAAAATCTTCAGGTGTTCGTGTTTTTATTGTTCAGTCAGCGCGCTTAAATAGACATTTTTGAAGATAATTTTATCCTGGATGATGCTGGAGCTGGAGGAAAAAAGGATAAAACATTGTTTTTTAATGGTTTTTAAAGGGAAATATTTATATATATATGAAGCACCCTAATATATATATATATATATATATATATTAGGGTGGCCCAAAAAAAAAGAATATTTTTTTTCTTCTCGTCTCTTGTGAAAATATGTTGTTTTGTCATGTTTTAAGATCCCTGTTAAAATATCAGCTCGAATAAAAATTTTTTAGGGATCGCTCAAGATTTTTAAAAATTTTCAAAATCGTCAAAAATTGAATTTTTGTTTTATTTTAATTCTTTTTCTCGTCTCGATATTATTTTTTAGGTTGAAAATAATAAAAATTCTGTAAATTTCAAATCAATATTTTGATTTCTAAAGGTCGCTAAAAGTTCGTTGATATTTATATTCAGAGGTCGCTCGAAAACATTCAAAATACTCTACTTTGAAAGTTAAAAAAATCTTGAGCGACCTTTAGAAATTAAAATATCGATTTGAAATTTTCAGAATCATTATTATTTTTAAATTAAAAAATAATATCGGAACGAGAAAAAAAATTAAAATAAAAAAAAATCCAATTTTTGACGATTTTGGTAATTTTTAAAAATCTTGAGCGACCCCTAAAAAATTTTTAATGGTGCTGATCTTTTGACAGGGCTCTTAAAACATGACAAACCAACATATTTTCACAAGAGACGAGAAGAAAAAAAATATTCTTTTTTTTTGGGCCACCCTAATATATATATAGGGCCGTATGCAGAAACGTTGATTTATTTATATTAACTGATTTACGCATATCCACTGATTTAAGTTTGAACCAATTTGGCAAAATTGCAAATTTTAAATGACAGCAGATTTGTATCCTTTTTCTATGGATTTGTAGGTTATCTTACATATACTTAAATATGTGTTTATTACATTATAAGAGTGATACATTTTTAAAATGTATTATTAAATATACACATAAATACAATTTGTTGATGTTGTTGAAAATTTTGTTCAAGTGTTTGTTCTTGTAAGAGATTAATTATTAATTATAATAATTATATTATAATTATGATAATTTGTTTCTTACATGGAAACGTCGTAGTTGAATGGCATTTAAGTCACTTTGAGAACGGATAAAAAGGAAGGTAACTTTTGCAAGTGGATAATTATTTATTTACCTCGTGTCATTTCATTTCCTTGACAACCTTGCAAATTATTATTTTTTAATAGCAGGTGTCAAAAAATCTTTTAAAATGATTCGTTTTGGTGTCGTTTCCGGCGAAAAACAATAAAGAACAAATTGTAAAAAGTATCCCAAATAATTCTTTAATAA